GGTTTGTTGTTGGTTTGTGGGGTGTTTTTGTTTGTTTGGTTTTTTTAAAAAAATCATTCAATGGCATTTGTAACTACTGGATGGGGCAATTAATCCATTACAATATTTAAGCAAACCCTGATAGTAGTATATTATTTCTTTCACCCACCTTTTGTTTATTAAATATTTCCCTCTTTCTTTCCCCTTCCCTGCCCCCATATAATCCATAGTGCATGTCCAACTCCAGACTGTTAATTGCTATACGCATGTCTGACTGTCTATTCATTTCAGATGCTGTCCCTTTCTCTTGTTACAATACAGAAATTATTTATACATTCTTTTCCTTCTCTTCCCATCATCTGGATGTTTTAATTCCTTTATTTGTCTTACTGTTCTAGCTAGAACATATATAATACTATATGGCAGTGGTCATAAAGAACAACTCTCCCTTCCCTGGTAACCATGCTATTTTTATAACAGTGATCTTATAAAATATTTGTCCTTTTGTGACTGAGTCATTTCATTTAACATAAATGAAACCTCCAGATTTCATCCACATTGTGTAATGTTTCATGAGCCTTCTGTTATTCAGTGTTGTGTAATATTTCAGTGTGTGAATGCACCACAGTTTCTCCATACATTTGTTTACTGGTGAGGACTTGAGCTGCTTCCATTTCTTTACTGTTGTGTATAGTACTGCTGCAATAAACATGGGTGTGCATACATCAGTTTGTGACACAACTCTGATTTCTTTAGGGTGTAGTCCCAACAGTGGTAGAGCTGGGTCTAATGGTATTTCTATTTCTAACTTTTTGAGGAAGTGCTAGACTTCTTTCTATAGTGGTGGTACCATTTTACATCGCCCTTGCAGTACATGAAAGTTCCAATCTCTCTGTATCCTCCTAATATTTGTTGTACTGTTGAACTTTATTACTCCTGATGGGATGCCTTGCTATCTCAGTGATGCTTTTATTTGCTTCTCTGTAATAGCCAGGGATCTTGTTGAGGTGCTGGAGTATTGTATAAACTTTAAATATGTGTCCATTATCAGATATGTCATTCTCAATTAATTTTTTTTACCAGTTTATGGGGTTTTAAAAGAAACATTTTTAAATGGGGCAATTTCTTATACATACCATCTTAAAGTTAAAACTATGGTACATTCATATAATGGAATATTATGCAGCATTGAAAAAGAGTAAACTTGTAAAACATTACACAACATGGAGAAGCCTGAAGGATATTATGCTGAAGGAAATGTATCATTCACAAAAGGACAAATACTGCATAACACTGCTGTTATAAAATAGGACAGACATGGGTGAGTTGGGGAGAGGATGGGGAAAGAATAGGTCACTAATAAACACTGCATTAGATCAGATGAGAGGAAGAACTGTCTGAACTTACAATTAGGCATT